AATAATAATAATAGTAATAGATGAAGTATTAATAATAATAATAATAATAATAATAGCAATAGCAAAATTAATCATATTAATATTTTTTAATATTATAAATTTGTTAATATAAATATAGAAATATATTGACAATCATAATAAAAGTAAATATTATAATGCTAATGATAATGATAATTATAATATTAATAAATATATTACCATTAATTATTATAATAAAAGTAGAAACGTTAATGATAATGATAAATAAAAGATAATGTAAATAAAAGATTTGTAGGCTTCACTGATAAGACTTAAGATGTTGGCCAGTTTTCGACTAATCTCAATCCTTTTTTGGGTCCAAATGCCCGCGGCGTCAGAGTTTTTTATTGTGTTTTTTTCTACGCAACTAAGCAAATCTTTGTGTTACATCTGTTTGGCTTTAATTATACATAACTTGAATGCTTTTCTTCTATTTAAAGCCTTGGCGCCTGTTCAGCCCACTCGCAATTCGATCACATCTTGTTGGTTACCCTGCCCCGCGCTTTGCCCCCGCTGCCGCGTGGCGATATCTTTCGCCTATAGCTCCAGCATTGGAGTCTGCGCCGCCTTTGCTTTTCTCTTGTTGCATACGAAAAACTAACGAAAATATGAAAATAAAATAAAAAATGTAGACATTTTGTAGCCAGTTTATAGAGATGGTGGGCCAGCCTCTTTGGGCCGAGGCCTGTTTGCTTTTCGCCCATAATTTTTGCGCCGTTTACAACAAACGGTCGCATAACTTGTGAACGGCCCCGGTTCCGCAACGATCCCGGTCCCTGTCCCTGTCCCAGTCCCAGTACCAGTCCCCGCCCCAGACCCTGGCCCTGTCGCCCCGTAAACGCCCCGCCTTATCTCTCGTTGGCTGTCGATGTAGTCCCACGGTCTATGGGCCGCTTGGTCTATGGGTAGAGCCAGCTCGCACTCGCACTCATTCGCATGGTGCCAAATGATTTTCACATGTTTTTGTTAGTGTGTGTGTGTGAGTGTGTGTGTGTTCATTCATTCGCACTTTTCTTTTTGCATGTGTTTTTCACTCGCACTTTGGCTGCGCGCTGCTTTGGCATTTAATTAAAAAGCCTGCAAAATTATGAACTTTTCTTTCTCGACCGCCTGCAAATTTGTTTGTTTTCGCCACGAAAGTCATATATCAAAAAATTGCTTGCCAGATGCGAGTCGGTTTTTTTTCTTCTTTGTATAGGCGGAGTAGTCCGGTGGTTGGGGATTGGCAGTGGGAAATGCGAAATGCGAAATGCCAAATGTAAAATCTCTCGCCAATGATCTGTCGAACTTTTCGCCCAACTCTCAGCCGGTTGGCAATAAGTTTTCCTCTTTCTCTTTTTTTATTTTTCTTTTAACAGAATTCAATGTGCCGATGAGCTGTTTGGGACGACGGGTAGTTGATGGGTAGATGAGTAATGGGGCAATGTGTGCTGGAGTGGAGCATACGAAGCTCTACCCAAAACAGTTCTTGTTGCTGGGAGTCGACGCGTTGAAAATCAAATGAGCTGTAAAGAAAATTCGCGTTAAAATGCGTTTTATTGTTTCCAATTAAAGTGATTGAGTGCGTTGCTTTATATATATTTATATGTATATATACTTTTATATATCCATGTGTATGTGTGTGGGTTTGCATCTAGGCTGAATCAAAAAACCACAAACAATATTGACTGTAAAGCTGTAGTGTCCGACATGCTTCGTTTAATCCCACACAGCACATCAGCACGACCCAACCCAAAAAACAATTTATGCGCTACTTTAGCTAATCGTCGAGAGCGTCGAATATTTTGTTGACGCTTTTCACTGTGTCGATTTCGTTTTTTCCAATTGGTTTTCCAATGGAATTTATGAGTGAGTCTCCCATCAACAGCATTTAGCATACGGCTAGGGGTTGGCTAGCACAACTGCATCCAGTATATTCTCATGTGTTTCACTCGTCAGCTGGCCTGTTCCTATTTATGAGGCAGCAGCTCAACTCGGCTTATTGCTAGCCGCAAAATCAACTCATTTACAATGCGTGTGGCAATAGCTGTGCTCCAAATGCCGGACAGTCTAGCTATCTTATTATCATTATTGCCACCATTAAGTCCACACATATCGGCGGCAATGAAAGAGTCGCAACGATACTCAAATGCCCTGCCCACAAATTTTTGCGTGTAATGTCGATAGAATTCACTTTCTGAGTTTTTCTTTAATTAATTAAACATATTCAGATTAAATAAGCTTTCAAGTTTTATATGAGGGACTCCTCATCAGGGCTTCAAAATATACCCAAAAGTCTTATAAAAATATGAAAAAGGAAATGCCAACTTTGATATTTATATTAAAAAAGTATGTAACATTTTCAAAAATAATCAATTTTTAGTAAAGGAAACTTTCCAAGCTGAATGCGCTCAAAAAAAGAAAAAGAAAAAATTCCTTAATCTTAAATCTTTTATTCTGACATTTTAGCCTTTTCACTTGTGACTGATATCATTTCTCCAGCTGTCGTTGAGACTTTCACCTTTTTAAATGATATAACTAAGTGAGCTCTTGATGGGATTTATAACGTTGGACTCCCAACTCGTTTGCCAGCCTCGGCCTCGACACATAGCTGATATAACAGCTCAGCGCAAAGACGCAGCGCTGAGTGTCAAGTAGAAATAAAAATCATTTTAATTTGTGCAACGATGACGATGACGACGATGACGACCATCGAGTGGATGGCTGCATGAGGCAAGGAAATGGGGGAAGGGGCCAGGGGGCAGTCTGGTAGCACGTCCAATATCAGGGCAGAGCATTTGGGCACATGTTATGCGCCTGCTGGCAGGATAAAACTCATCGATAAGTCTGTTGGGGCGTTGGTGGCATCGCATCCAGCCGCGTTGCCCATTGTCGTTGCCCATTGTTGTTATTTGCCAAATAAGCGAACGGCCGCCCGCGTTTTACTTCCCCGCCAACGCTCCCGCGCCCGCGCCCGCACCCGCTCCTCATGCCTCATGCCGGACGCGTCTCCATTGTTGTCAGCTACGTCGTCGTCGTCGATGATGCAGACATAAGATATGAAAAATATGAAGCAACAGCCATCACAATAGTCGCACCAGCCAAAAGCCAGAGCTGGAGCTGAAGCTGGAGCCGCAGCCACCGCACAGGCAAGGGACACTTTGTGCTGCCTGCTCTCCCTACCCCGCCTGTCCCGCCGATTTAAACCCAGCTCACAAAGCAGGCGCTCATGCGTGTGCAAGTCAAAGTCGCTCTGCGTGGGCACCAGCCTCATACGTAACCAGCTATAGATACAACTCAGTCCGTCTGCGTCACACCGTCCCGTCCCGTCTCGCTGTCTGCCCATATATGAGTTGCGTTGTATAAATCACGCTTAATGCCTTTGGCAACGGGGGCAACTGGAACATCCGAGTACGCTGTGGAACATAAATTGCAGTCAAGTGCTGCCAATTAGTTGGCAAAAATTATTTTATGATATTGGCCAACTAATTAAACCAGCATTACGCTGGACTGACGTTAAGGCTAGTGTCCAGACAAGGACACCAGCTCCGATGCGGGGCCTGGGTCAGCTGGTCAAAAATCGATAAAAGTCGCAGCAGGCGAGAGACAGGTGCCCCAACCCTCTTCACAGCCCCTTGTCTCCCTTTCTAGCCAGCTTTCGCATTGTAGCTAGCATGCAGTTTCATCAATCAACCGCACGAGCCAACAATCAATCATAGTCGAGCAGCAGGGGTAGCTAGAGGGTAGCCCTCAACCTGTCCCAAATAAGTAAAGTACGTAAAAATATCTCTGATTATTAATTATGAAATGAAATTATGAAATGTGCGAGAAGCGACTGCCATTAAACGATTAGGTTCCTATGCTGTCCTAGACAGCAGCATTAGACGTAAGGAGCTTAAGGAAACAATACAATCTTAAAGATGAATAAATGAATATAGATGCATCAATACCCGAAATAGCTGTGCTGAACAAGAGAGGGCAACTTAAATGATTGAACGCAAATAAAGCTAAGCTCTATAAGACGAATGCTTATATTCTAATTCGATCCGAATGCTACTTAAACTTAAGAGATCAACGAAAAGTTAAAGTCCTCACTGATTGACTGACTGACTGATTAACTGTCTGTTCGATTGACTGACTGGCTGATTGACTGACTAACCGACAGACTGACAGACAGACTGATTAAATAGACTAACAGATTGATTAGCCTAGCTAGTCAATCAGTCAGTCAGTCAGTGACTAGTTAGCCAGTCAGTCAGTGAATCAATCTGTTAGTCTATTTAAGTCAGTCAGTCAGTGAATCAGTCACTGACTGGCCGACAGTCTGATTGACTGACTGACTAAACGAATGACTGTCAGACTGATTGGCTAATAGACTGATTGACTGACTAACTGAGTAACTCACTGTATGACTAAGTAACTGATTGACTTATTGACTTACTGACGGATGGACTGATTGACGACAAGACGGACTGATGGGCAGACTAGTTGCCTGGTTGCCTGGTTGCCTGGTTGACTAATAGACTAATTGATAGACTGATAGACTGATTAACTGACTGACTAACTGACTTATTTCGGTACGAGTTTAGAATTATAAATACTGACAGTAGTTACCTCAAGTAAATGCCAAATTTCTGGATTTGAAAAATAACTTATGTAAGGGTGAATAGTATTTGTATAAAACTCACCCATTTTACCTGGTCGTGATTAAACTTAAGTAAACTTTCCTCCAGAATTGAAAGCTGCTAAATTATTTTATGGTACTTTTAAAATTGCATCTCCTGAAATATAAAAGAGAATTGGTTAGATGATCTTATCACACCTAATTACTTATATTGTACCAGTCCTATATTCTAACAAGTATATTAAAATTTTGAATAGGCTAAGAATTGTAATATGCGAACGCATTTCATTTCAGTATATGCTTCCCTTCAATAATTATCTTTAATACTTGTTTTAATTATTATTAAATTTCCAATGCCATTTTCTTTGCTCTTTATCAGTGTGCCAGTGCAATGGACATGCCCGTCGCTGCCGATTTAATCTAGAGCTGTACAAGCTGTCGGGTCGTGTGTCCGGCGGCGTGTGCTACAATTGTCAGCACGATACAACCGGACGGTATTGCCACTATTGCCGCGAGGGCTACTATCGGGACGCCACCAAACCGCCCAATCATCGTAAAGTCTGCAAACGTAAGTGCTGTTAAAGCCATCACCTGGCGATGTTAAGACGCTGCTCAGTCATCAATCAGCGGCCTAGTTAGTTGTAAACAGGGAAAATATCTTTCTAATGATGACTCCTTCTTTCCTTCTCTCTCTCTCTCTTCCTCTCTCTCTCTCTCCCTCTCTCTCTCTCTCTCTCTCTCTCTCTCTCTCTGTCTCTGTCTCTTTCTCTCTCTCTCTCTCTCTCTCTCTCTCTCTCTCCGATTCTCCGTATTTTTTCTTCCACTCCGTCTCACAGGCTGCGACTGTCATCCCGTTGGCTCGACTGGCAAGACCTGCAATCATCTGAGTGGCCAGTGTCCCTGTAAGGAGGGCGTCACCGGCTTGACCTGCAATCGCTGTGCTCGCGGTTATCAGCAGACGCGCTCCCATGTGGCGCCCTGCATAAGTAAGTGTCCAGTTCTCGCTGTCTTGCCCCACTGCACTCTAGCGTAATCCTCATTCACGTACCTTTTTGCAATTAACAGAAGTGCCCACAAATGCGAATATGATTCAAGCTGAAAGCGCCGGCGGCGGCGGTGGAGCTGGCGACTACAAGGATGGCGGAGGCTCCCAGGCTGAGGAAATGAAAAAGTGTAAGTGGCAACTAGCGAGTACCGCGTAATGGAGATGCGAGTAGCGATTAAAATGTGACATAGGACGAGTAACGAGTGAAATGTACCTGCGACGAGTAACGAGTAAAAAGTGACTTGTGACTAGTATCGAGTAAAATGAAGTATGTGATGAGTACAAAGTGAATATTCCTTATGGCGAGTAACAAGTAAAAAGTGACTTGTGCCGACTAACGAGTAAAATGTAACTTGTGACGAGTAACGAGTGAAAAGTGACTTGCGACGAGTAACGAGTAAAAACTGACTTATGACGAGTAACGAGTAAATGTAGTTTGTGACGAATAACAAGTGAAAACTAACTTCCGACGAGTAACGAGTTAACCGTGACTGATGACGAATAGCATGGTACTTGCTGAATAGTTCCTTGTGAAGAGTAACGAATTTCGCTTAGCGAGTTGAGATTTTCAATTAACTTATTGACGAGTAAAGCGTTGCGAGTAACAAGCAACGAGTTTTAATTTACAACACATTGATATAAACATATGTTTATATTATATTCCTCACAGATTGCGGCAAGTGTAAGGCCAGTCCCAAGAAGCTCAATCTCAACAAGTTTTGCATGGAGGACTACGGTGCGTATGCTTGTTGTCCAATTCATATGCCCGAACCTAACCCAATTTTAACTCGCTTACAGCTCTTCTGGCCAAGGTAATTGGCCATGATCGCGCCTCTCAGGATATAAGCACCGAAAAGTTTTCGATAGAGCGACAGAACGAGATATACAAGTACGAGATAAATATACAGACCATTTTCAAGCGGAACCCGATGTCGGGCACGACCAGCTCGCTGCTGGGACGTGGCAACATGATGCTGCTGGTGCCGCGCAAGAGCATCGAGTGTCAGTGCCCCAAGATCAAGCTGAACAAGTGAGTATTCGCTCCTCCAACTGAACTAACATTTCTTTCGCTCCGATTATTAATTCACGATATGCTCCTCATTGCTTAATCTTTACAGATCGTATCTTATACTTGGACGCGACTCGGAGGCAGCGCCGGGGTATCTGGCCATTGGACCCAGTTCAGTTGTATTGGAGTGGAAGGATGAGTGGTCGTTGCGCATGAAACGCTTCCAGCGGCGCGCCCGCAAATGCAGTTGAATCGAACCGGAAACGGAATATGTCAGAGCGGATTTCAATTTCATACACTTGGCTAGGTATCGGTTTTTGTATAAATTGTACAGTTTACTCAAGTTTCTGACCTTTTTCGGCATCATGCTTTAATTAATCCCCCCACACAAACACACAAACCCACATATACTAATACCTATATACACAAACCTAAGCGGAGTCTCCCCATAAAAGAATATACTTAACTATCTAAAAACAAAAAAACATCCTAAATTATCTAGTTAAGCTACTCAGCGGCATTCTAGTCTACAATACTCGAACACTGCACAACACTGGGCAAAACCAACAGCATCAACAACAACAAGCCAAATGCTAATTACAATTTAAAGTGTGAGCCTTCGAGTGTGTGTGTGCGTGTCCGTAACAGTTTTGAGGGTCATAAAAAAACAGTTATAAATTTGAAACAAGTGCGAAAAGAGTTGCATGTTGCATGTTGAATGTTGCGTGGAGCGTGTGTCGCGCAGTGGGGCGCAGCTTTACATAGAATGGAATTTTGGTGCAGGGTAGACAAACAGGCGTAGTCAACAACAACAACAACAACAGCAACAACAACAACAACAGCAACAACAACAACAACAACAACAGGCCAACAAACAGCAGGCTTTCGCTCGGAACAGCATGCAATAGGGGTATTCAAGATAAATTTAACCTTAAATGTTAACTTGTCTGTCGCATGAATTAGTTCAAATGTTATTTGTTTTGCTTATGTGCTGACTACCCCTAATGCCCAGGCAATCATTTTTTTAATTTTTTTGTATATGTAAATTGATTTGTATTTTCAATATATATTTGCCGTGCTTCCAAGTATTTATTTTTATCGCTAACACTTTTTTTCGGCTTCAACGGCAGTTTTATTATTATTATTATTTTTATTTCGATTTGTATTTATAAAATGTATGCTAACAGTTTTGCTGTTAATTATGCAGATGTTTATTTCCCATTTGTTGGTTGGTTTTCACGCGCTTTTGCATAACAATTTGTTTGAGGCAACCGCAGCAGAAAAAAGCGTAATAATAATAATAATAAAAATAAACAGACGAACAGCAACAGAGACTGCAGCAGCAGCAGTAAAATTAATTTAAAATACATTTATTTGAATTTAATTTTCAATCTGAATTATGCATGCAAATCAGTAAGCGTGGTAAAATAAAAAAAAAAAACCTCACAGCCAAATTGAGTGTTTTTCAGGGGCATCCGCAGGGGCAGGGACAGGGGCGTGGCGAAGGGCGTTGAGAAAGACTAGCTGCAGCTTGTAGTGCTGTGTAACTTGTTTTTTAGACAATCTCAAAATCGTTCAGCAAATACAGTAGAGACGCATGCGATCTATGTAGCTGCTGTTTGGCGCACACCAGGCAGTGCTCACTGTAGTATGCGATAAGCCCGACATGCCGCGCGCGCTTCACAGACAAACAAACAAGGGACAACACAACACGAAACACGTTACACAAATTAAACAAGAAAAAATAATATATATACATATATAAAAGCTTCGTAGGCTGAACACTGATATGTTACCCCTGCCACTGCCGTTACCCCCCGCTCCTATGGCACTGGCCTTTGCTTGCATTTACACAGTTACATTTTACACATACACACGAACACATTGTTATCTGTTGTGTTTTTTGTTGTTGCTTTTAACTCTTTTATTTGACTGGGGCCGCGGATTAAACATGTTACAGCTCAAAATGTAACATGATATATGACAGCAAGTGTCGAACTTGATAAATGCTTTAATGAATTTATTTTCGTGTTCTGCACAAGACTCGCCATTCAGTGTTGTTAACCCCCCCACGCCTCCGTTCCGCCTCGCTCCACTGCCTATGCGCTGCCTTCGCCCCCGCGCATTTGTCTGCGTGCTTTTGTCATTTTGCCCCAATGTCCCTTGCCACAGTTGGCGACCGTGACCATGATATATTATATATCCAACTGGAGCGGCGACCAACTCGACATATGCTGATCAACTGGACGGACGGACAACTGAACAGTTAACATGCTGCTGCTCTTAAGCTGAGATTTGTGTGTTGCGCCTGGGCCGCATAATTAGCCGACGACATGGCTCCGAAAACAATGCGTTGCACACACACACACACACACACAAACACACACACACATAGGCACGCACACAGTCAGACTATGAAGTGTCCTGCAGCAAGTTAAATGCAAAACAAGAGCAGCAAAATAAATAAATAATAAAAAAAGCTGAAAGAGAAATTCAATTGCGGCCTGGACGCTGCCTTCATGCATATTTAAATGAGATTTTTGCGTTAACTGAATTTTGTCAACATGACGAGGGGGCGTGGCCGGCCAGGCAGCCAACGTGGGCGTACTGCAGCCATGCGAAGTCATATTAATTTACACACACACACACACACACACACACACACACACACACACACACACACACACACACACACACACACACACACACACACACACACACACACACACACACACACACACACACACACACACACACACACACACACATGCATGCAATAGTACATATATATGCGTGTGCATAAAACATTTATATATATTTAAATAAATTGGATTTTTCTGTGGGATTATTTTTCATTTTTTTTTTACTTTTTTGACTCGGCTGTAGCGGCTTGTGGGCGTGGCATATGTATTTTAAATAACTTGCTGGCGCCATTAGCATATAAATTGATGTGCGCCAGTTGAGCGCGAAAAAGTCAGGCCCAGTCGCTCACACACGCACACACACTCGCAGGCATTTGGTAAACTCAGACACTCACACACACATACACATACACATATCTAAGATTTCTGTGCCCCAAAAGCTGACAAATTGACTTCCGTTTCCGCGTTAAAAATCAACAAAAATCCACAAAAGAGCAAACATTAAGAGCGAAGAAAAACAAAAAACAAAAACAACATAAATACTCTTTTAAAAAAGTACTTAAAAAAACTGAGACACAAACATAACCAAATTAGTCATTAGTTGATATGGCAAGCCGTTTATTTATTTTCATTTACACGCATATAAATAAAATAATATATTTTTTTTTTCTTAATCTTAACTATACACTTAAATTATAAATTGAAATTATGAATTGCAAAGCCAGCAAAAAAAAAAAAAAAAAAATCGTTTTTGTTGGCGTAAACTGTATTTGATTTATTATATATATAATTGAATACATATATATATATACATATATATAATCATAAATAAATAAAAATATGCATATATATAAATGCTTGATGTATTTGTATATTCTGAGCAAAGCGCACACCAAGCAAATGTGCAACAAACACGAGCGTGCCAGAAGAAGAGGCAAATTGTTGCACACTTTTTTTTTTGTCTGGAGACAAACTGTGCTTAAAACTATTTCCATGTAGTTGAGTGCAAAAACAAACAACAATACTAACGTTACATATCCTACACACACGCACACACACACACACACACGTATGTATACACCCTTGCCAAGTTAAATAGATTTAATCAAGTTTTTTTTCTTTTTTTTTTTTAAGATAAAACATTTTATCACTAAAAAAAAACTAACGTTTATTATCTTTCTGTGTGTCGCAATTTAAGAAAAATATATATATCAAAAAAAAAAAAATAAATAAAAGATGCAAAAACAATTTTATATATTAACGTAAACACTATTTAAATGCATATATGTTTAAATATAAACATGCTATATAAGTATAACCAAAAACAAACAAAACGGCGGCAAATTTTTTTTTTCTTAGATTTTTGTAAATACTCAAAAAAAATGCAAAAGCTAAAGCCATACAAAATAAACCATAAATTAAACAGCGAATAGTAATCAACAATATTTATTGCTAATTATTATGTTGTAACAAAATACATATGACAAAAAAAAAACAAAATTGACAAGAAAAACGATTGAATGGAGAAAAAAAACGATCAAAATAGCAGCAAAATAAACAAACATTGTCTGATATTAAAGTATTGTAGTTGGTATTTACTTATACACACACACATATATATATATATATATGCCCCTACATATATGTATAATTATATGTTTAAAACTAAAACACACACACACCCAAACACACGTGTATTAACTTATGCATCTTTTGTGGCAAACGAAGCAAAAGCTAATAAAAATATATTAAAGACAAGCCGAACAGGCACAACAAGCTGCACACATATATACATATATATACCTATATATCCTCTAGGTATATACCTATATATGCGTCTATATGTGAGTGCGCATCTACATATACACACGCATATATTATTTATGTTGTACTTGAATAAAATATATGAAAAAGCAAACACGAAACCAACCGATAAACAAAACAAGCAAAGCAAACAAGACACAAAGTTTAATCGAATTAAGTGGACAAATTGCTAATATATATTACGAAATTCAATGGGTGTCAATGTGATTTTATTTCATTTCTTTTGGCTGGTGGAAGTGTGGGGAGGTAGGCGGGGTGGGCATTCCACAAACTGTTGCAGGTAAAGTATGCATTCTTTTCCAGCCGAATACCGAAAGTTGTGGGACCTAAAATACCCGAGTGGACAGCTGGCAGAGTTACTAGACTATAGCTGGTCGATTTGAACCAGCGCCCTGCATTTGGCAACGGCTCGTTCATGCACGCTTATTCTTATACAATATGCAGGATAAGTTGTATGCCTACCCAAAATATGAATTTGAAAAATTGAAAGACTTTTTCAAAAGTTTTCCATTTTAAGCTACCAAATTTTTTGGAAAGCATAATATGCAGCTCAGAATTCAGTTCGATTGTTTTCTGGGCAACTGGTTGGACTATATTTCTTTGTGCCTGAAGCAAAAGAAGCTTCGAACCTGAGATACTAACTACTAATGTAACAGTTGTAACAGTTTGAAATCAGTTGAAGGCCCGATGAAAGAGATGGAATTAGGTATACGGTCGTAAGACCTACCGAACCATCTAGCCATCGAATACGTGGTTCCTTCCAAAGTGCCCAGCAGGATATCTAATTAAAGTTTTACATGAAATAATCTTATACTGCGAAGCGGATAGTTAAAGGCATTTGGCGAGCGCGAAACTATCATACTCATTGTAAATAATAAGCCAGAATTAACCAAAAAGAACTTGACCCTTAAATGGTTGAGGATCTTTAATTTCTTAATACGAAGCTTAAGCTTATGCCTTAAGCCCTGTGGTGCGTCAGCTTGTGGTAGCACTCCCTCGCCCGCATGCTTTCTGCAGCTACACCCCTTGGGCGGCAACAAAAAATGTAGCATACTTTCGAGCAGCGCTCAGTGAATTTTCAATCACGCAGCAGATAAAATGCAAAGCAAATTATTTTAAAGCGCAATTTAAGTAACATGCTAGCCCCCAGGGCTGCTTAGTATTTGATATTGCCGCTGGCTCTTGCGCTGCTCCTTGCTGCTTGTTTCATGGTCCTGTTCCTAGTCCTTTTACTGTGCCATTCCAACTTTGTGTCCACGAGCCGGCAACTGAAACTAATACGCATATTTATCAAATTTCAGCGCCTCAAGGGTTGCAAAAAGCGCTGCTGCTGTTTCCGTTGCACTCAGCTGCCCAGGCTCCGCAACACCACCGCCCCATCCCGCTGGCATACTCCCAAATGTACATTCATTGTAGTTGCCCGAAAAATGCCTTGCAGCGCTCGAGAGTTTCAGCAAGATCCAGGGGGGTAGTGAAAGACGCAGCCGGCCCAACCGCAATGCAAAACGGCGAACAAAGTTTCGGCCCACAGCAAAACTTAACAAAAAGCGGTGCTTGGCTGGGCAACCACTAGGCTGGGTGGGTCCTGCTCAATAGGCTGGCTCTCTGGCTGGCTGGCTGGCTGACTGGCTGACTGGCTGACTCTGTGGCTGGCAATGCTGCACAAACAAGGACAAAGCTGTGCTGCCACTGTCAGCGCAAACAGCACAACAAAAACACGTCGTTGATGCCACACAGTGGCAGCTCCATTTGCACGCTTCATAAGCGCGACGAATGAATTTTAATTTGATTAAAGTGAAAAATTGAAAAATTGAAAAATTCTGAAAAAACTTGCCTTTTGCCGCAGCGCAACCCCAAACACCAAACACCAGCCATCCCTCCAGCCCACAGCCCACAGCCCGAAGTCCTCAGCCCGCAGCTCTCTCCTCAAACACAGTACCATAAGCTTTTAGTGTATTAAACGCTGCGCCAAAGAGTGGCGAATTTGAATTCGTTACGCCCCACCAAACGTGGCAAGTCAAAAGAGTGGGCGTGCGGCGGGCACAGGAGCGTGCGAGATATGCACAGGATTAGCTGGCCAATCAGGCGCAGAGCAGGCAGCCTGGATTTGTGGCTGCTCAGAAGCATGCTGCACATGGTCGCAGCTTTAACACGGTCGCGCGTTGCCCGCTCGACCCACACGATTTTGATTTTGGGTGGCCCTCGGTTCGGTTGCCATGGCTAGAAATGCCAATGGAAATGCCCAGCACAATTGGGCGTATCCGTTGCCAGGGCCAAGCTTAGGCCAGCATTAAAACCTTTTTGCTTCAATAATGTTGTTTTTCCTTTTTTGTTTTTTTTTGTTATGCTTAGATGGCGACCGCAGCCGCCTGCCACAACTGCCGCATGGCAGACCCTGCTGCCGCCCCTGGCTGACTGTTGCCGATGCTCTACTCAAAGGCTTTCTTTTTTTTCTTTCTTCATTTGCCATAGCTGCGTTTTTCTGCCCCAGGAGATGCTTTGCCCGGCTAAGAAGCATCCTCGTCATCGCCAGCGTCTGTTACAGTGCGGCAATTACGCCGCTTGGATTTCAAGTGCTGCCTGCCACAAGTTGTTGTTGCTGTTGCCGTTGCCATTGGTGTTGTCGTTGCAGCAAATGCTACAACAAGAGTGCTGGAAGCCATTCGAGAATGGGCCAGAGAACAGACCCAAGCCCAAGCCAAGCCCAAGCTCGAGTCATAGTTGTTGCCAGCGGCACTCGAGTATAACAGAATTTTGCGCTGAACCCTAAACGGGAGTGTACAGCTTTTTTATACACAACAAACACACACACACAAATACACACACATGCACGCACACACACTCAAGGTTCGCATTGTGAAGTGCAAAAAAGGCGCATTTTTACAAGATTTTTATTATATATAAATGCGAAAAGTATTAAAAAAGTAAACTTTTTTATAGACTTTTCATTTGCTCTCGCTCTCTCTCTCGCTCTCTTTCTCTCTCTCGCCCCCTCTGAAGCTATATAATTCGTACGCCTTTGGTCTGGGCGTTATGATGCGTGTTAAGGGAATACGAATACACACACACATATACACACACTCTGATGGAGCAGGCGCCAGGATCAGCTCCCATTGGAGCCACGGCGCAAGCAATGCGGAAATGCTCCTCGCAACGCTTGAAAGCCAAAGGAAAAGTTCCGATGCTCTACAGCAAGTCGGGATGATTAGCTGCTACCTGGAATTTTCAAAAATTGCAAATTTAGCTAGCTGCAGCTATTTATCATATACTGAGCATTTGCTCTGCCCCAAAAGTATGCAACAAGCTGTTCAATGCTTTATTAGATACAGTTTGGCGGGCTTGTGCGTAGAATAAGTTCTGTGGCATACTTTTTGAGCAAGGGTTCTACAATAGCAAATGTATCTTTTAAATTCAAATGTATCTAATAAAATCAGCCACGTTTAAATTCATTCCAAATATGTTATTAGTCATATATAAACAAGATTGGGCATAAGATAAAAATACAAATATATAGATCTATCGATCTATCTATGAGATACATACAAATTTGTAAAAACAGTAATCTGACTTTAATGAGATACAAATCTATCCCTTGAGTTAAAATGTTATTATTCCAAAACATATTCCTCAGTTTGTAGCTTACAGCGCGCAGAACAGCCCAATCTTGTGCCACAAATGTATCTTAAATAGAGTGATACACAATAAGATACAAATGTGTCTATGAGTCCCCAACTACAAGATACGAGAAACAAAAGCCTAACTTATTATGTTATGTTATACATGTATCTCAGATACGGCAGTCTTTAGTGGGATTTTAATGTATCTGTGAGTATCTATAAAATGTGAGATAAGTAAAAACATACATATATCCATAAGATACAAATATCTTACTTGATATTATTTCCTAGGGACCAAAGGAATGACATGCAAATGTGTCTGTAAGTGTCATATTTTATAGAAATAAACAAATCTTTAGGATACAAATTTGTAATTCGTTAATATGCTATATTAATATTTCTTAATTTGCAGCCTACACAAATGTACCTGATGTGAGGATGATATATGAGGTATAACAAAGCACGTTTATATCCATGCGATACATATGTATCTGGGCGAGCCCCAAGTATCCATAAAATGTGGGTTATAAAAAAATAAGTATATATCCATATCTTTCTTGTTATTGTTGATATATATTCAGGCATATTCGTCAATTGGAAACTTAGAGCGCGCCGATTAGTCGACCTGGTCGATTCAACCGCAACCTGGAAGCGCCACCGCCCACTCCCCTGGGCCTTCGCTGTGCTGCTTCACTTTTGCTCTCACTCCTTTTAGCTTTGCTGTTGCTGTTGTTAAAATGTTGTACAAAAAAATGTTTTCAGGCCCCAGAGCTGCTGTTGTTGGATGTTGCTGCTCCTTGAACAGTTACAGTAGATTTTTCCTACTTGTATTTTCCTTAACGATTCGTAGAACGGCCCCCAGCTACGTTTCTTTTAAATTTTATTTTATTACTATAACAAGACATAAGTAGGCATAATGGAGCTCTATAAAATATTCAAAAGAAATTGGCATAGAAAGTTTCAGAACGCGACAGAGAGAGGGGGGAGGGAGAGCCGCCACCCGCTGGCATTCATGTGAGGCTTGAAGCGCTTGGGTCTGGGCATTGGGCATGCTTTGGAATTCCGAGTGTTAAACGATTAACGGCATTTTCATTGGGCGCCTGCTAAAGGTTAATGCACTTCAAACCTGAATAGCGTCTACTATGAGCAGGCATGCGAGCAGGCAACCAGGTGAGCATTGTGGGCGGTTGGGCGCCTTTTGAGTGCTATGGCAGGTACACATCCTTGAGTGCCGTCACAAGTTGACAACATTTGACACTTTAGAAGCGACGCGAAATTTGCATATTTACCGAATGCGGTGCGGATGTGGCTGTCGCGGCGGCCAATTTGCAGAAACTGCGCCTAACCCCACCCCGCCACGACTCGCACCGACCCGGCCCAAGCCAAGCTCCCCCGCCCACTGTCAATCATCTTCACAAGCGATTTGTCAGCATCCTGACGCTAATAATCCGCAACAACGCGCCCAGGATCATCATGATTTTTTACAACTTTTCATTTTCGCGCTTGAGCTGCTTTAACTGCCGACAGACGACGGCGGATTTGACTTGGAATTTTTGTGGGCCGAGTCAGCCACAGGATTTGGCCATACAAAATAATGGGCGTGGCAGGCATATGTGCCGCGGCTGAGCCCATAGCCGGGCAACTATTCAAATGAGCTCAACGCAAATGGCTTGGAAAATATGTCGCTGACTTTTTTCTTTACTTTTTTATTAGCACATTTAGGCAGCTGCCGTGCCGGAGGCTTTCCTCAGGCGCTTCTTGAGCACGCGCAGCCGCGAATATATGATATCCCAGTCCAGATAGGCACCCACAATGTAACGCGAATTGTCCGCGGTGTCATCATAGCCTGTGCGGCCATGGAGCAGCCGCAAATTGTTAAAGGTCAGCACATCCCCGGGCTGCGTCTTGAAGGAGTGCGCATCGGCGCGTGCCAGCTGCACAAATCGCGCATAGGACTCGTACCAGGGCAGCACTTGGCCCAGCGGCACATTGAAGTGGCTATCCCGCTGCGGTACGCTGTGGTTAATGCGCGTGTAGTTGCCGGCGGCATCCAGGCTGTTTGGACCAGAGTTTTGCGTTAGAATTTGCTGCACTTGGCCGGTGGCTACCTACCAGATGACGGGCGCACGCCAAATGTTGTGGAACTCGCGTCCGTCCTCGCTGCCGATGTCATTCCAGTCGACGGGCGTGCGACTGAGCCGCTCGAAGTGCTCCGGCTGCTCCTGGCGCAGACGGTCCGCTATGTGATAGGCATCCACAAGCAGATTGCTCCCGCCGTACGACTGCGTCTGCACCACGCAGTGGAGCAGGTTCACGCTGGGCTTGTACTCGTAGTAGGGCAGATCTGTGTGCAGTGGCAGCGGCAGCGAGAGGTATGCGTAGTTCTTGGCGCCTGGCTTGGCCTGCACTATGAACTCCTCGCCGTATGTGGTGCGTCGTATGAAGCCCACGCGCTCCGCCAGTCGACGCACCACGCCCTCGTCCAGCGGCGCGCCGTTGAGCAGCACCACGCCGTAGACGGCGAGCGCCTGCAGCCAATGCTGCAGTGCCTCATCCTCGGACATCACCTGGTCAAAGCTGAAGCGCTGTGCTATCTGCTCAAATTGAGCACCCGCCCAGTGGCTTGTCCGTGGCCGATAGAAGTCGTTTAGGTAGGCGCTTTGGCTCTGCCCATCAAAGCTGCGGCGTCGCAGCCAGTCCAGCTCGAAGCTGCTCTCGTGCGCATCGCTCCAGCGCACATGTAGCTGCTCCTTGGCAGCGTCCACATGCAGCGCCAGCGGATGCACGCCCGGATCGAAGTGGTTCCAGTCCAATTGCCGTGACTGCGAGCTGCTGTGATAGCACGCCGGACATCGGCAATTGTCGCGCAACCAGACCCCGGGAAAGGTCAGCACAGCAGCCCCAGCCCCAATCTGACCTTCGGTTTGCTCCGGCTGCACCTCGATGTTAACCTTGTCCACGATGCGTGCGCTCAGCGGGCGGCACATCGGAGGCGTCAGCTGCGAAATGGTGCGCCTTATGCTCTGCGCCAGCATCATAGTAAATACTCAACGAATGCCCAATGAATACCCAATGAATATGTGAGCTGGTTCAAAGGAACGATCCGCGGCGAGCGAGCGTTCAAATGTATCTGACGGATGCGTTACAAACGTGAAAGTGAAATCAACAAAAAATGCGGTCTTACGCCTTATCAACGCGCGGGTTTCTGCTCAGCTTGGACTTTGCCTGCCAGCTCATGTTAAACACTGCTTCTGACATTCGAATACAGTTCACAACTAGTTTATTTGTTGGCTCAACAAGAGCATAAACCCGACCAAATCGGAACTAGTTCACTAATTTATAATCGCTTGAATACGAAATTAAATTTAATATATTAACGAGCTTAGATGAACTAGAACTCATACCAATCTTTGCTGCAAATAACTCTGTAAAAGTACTAAAATAGTTTTTCTAAACTGAACTATTTTCATTGCCAAATCAGAACAGATATAAATAATATATTTTGCAATTATTTTTTTTTAATTTCAGCTCATGAACTAGTTCTCCAGTCCTGTGCTGTGCAACTTAAACGATTTTAAATTCCAGTTATTTAAGTCTTTCTGCTACTATATATGAACTATGGTAGTTCACTAGGTCTCTTTAACAAACTGAAAGCAATCTACAGTTGATATTCACATTTGTGGCTCTAGTAAAAAGGGCTGCCTTTTGAGTCGGAACTAGTTCGATTGAAGGCACATTTTATGTTCGTAACCCCAAGCTGTTTGCTGCTGATGAACGAGTTGATATGTATGTACGTATGCTGAAATTTACGTCATCAGCTCTATAAAGATCTTCAGGCTATTTTCTGTCTGTTTGCCTGATAAGGCATAGCCTGACCTGGGCCGGGGGAGGCGTGGAAAGTGGTGTGCGACTCGCTTATCGCTGGGTGCGTTGTCATTTTGTGATCGCAATTGCGGAGCGGGGCAGCAGTTGAAAGCGGACAACGGGCATCGGGCATCGGGCAGCGGATAGCGATCAATCAATCAATCAATCAATTGAATCATCTTTGCCTCTGCTGCTCGATTACCAATGCATTCCAGTGAGCAGTGGCAGCAACCAGTGGAACCAGTGCAGCTCCGGGCACAGCCAGTGGCGGCCTTTTAAGGGCCTCGTCGTCGAGCGATTCTCGTGAAAGCAATAAAAATTGCAGCGCCTGCAGCCAGTTTGAGAATTGATGTAAGGTAACCTGTTGCACATTTGAATGGAATGGCAGCAAGAGTTATGAGGAGGGGGAGGTGCCGATGGTGCTACTGGCTGGCTGGCTAGCTGGCTGGTAAAGGTGGCCACTCGCTGATGCCCAAACACTGGCCTGCTCCACTCCATTTACAGCGCGCACAATAAATTCCTGATGCCAGAGGCTTTTGGCGAATGCGGCAGCAACAGCCAGCAGCAACAGCAGCAGCAAATTCCCAAGCCGGTGGCCATAAAAATGCGGCTCACATGTGACAACGATTTGTACTTTAGCTCCTTTTATGGCAACTGCCTGATGCTGCCCCATCCTGGCTGCTGCTGACGCTGCTGCTGCTGCTGTTGTTCTTGTAGCATTTTCAAAAGCGGCTTCTCTCTGTTACAAATCGCAAAATCGCATCAGATTATGCTTGCAACGGCACAGCGTACGCGACTCCGCAGCGACCACCCATTTTGGCACTGGCCCCGTCTCCGGCCTCGGCTCCGGCTCTGACTCTGACTCTGGGCTTTTGTGGATCGCTGCTCCTGGCGTATGCTTGCCTCAGCTACCACGGCCTGCTGCCACATAAATATTGCAATAATAATGCCAGCTTAAGTTTTGCCAGCTTTTCAATCGTACCCCAAGGCTGACGCCCAGGCAGCAATTAGGTCAATTAACGAAACCCAACCACCCACACAAACTGCCTCCGCACCTGGCCCTGTCTTCAACCGGAAGCGCTCACTTTTATGACTGCACGCGCCAGCGTTTAACTCTCTTCCCCCTCTCTCTCTTTCTCTCTCTCTCTATCGGGCAGTGCAACAGCGCCTTGTGAGCACAGCTTGGACAAAGTTTTGCTGGCGTTGACGATGATTATCATGTCACATGCCATCACTCAATGCTTTTATGAGCCTAGCCACGCTATAACAATGGTGCAGGCCACTTAGAGCATCCCGCTAACCCCTGCCCCTTTCCCCTCCCCTTCCCCTACGCGTCCCCTGCCAATGGCCACAAGTACATACCAGGCTGCCAGTGGCTGAAACGAAATGTTAACAGTTTTCGTTTCATGTAATTAAGTGCTGCTGATCCACTAGTTTTTATCTTGAAGACCCGCCGGAAGGACGAACTGAAGCCAGGCGGGCGGCACGAGCTGTGATAGCTTTTTGGCTAAGCCCAGTGCAGGGGTGTGGCAGCGAGGGGCGGGGCTTGGGCTGGGTTGGGTTTAGAGTCTTCAGTCTGCTGTTTGCAAACTGTCTGGGCGAGACAACGCAGTACGTGCCGCTGTCCCGGCCAAGTAGTGTCCGCTGTCCGTCCGTCTGTGCGTCCGTCCGTGCGTCCTTTGTCCGTCTCCTTTTGCTGATTGCACTTGAGTCGAAACGAAAGCGAACCGAAAAATGTGTTAAGAGTCTAAACACGAACGTGCCGCTCAAAGGCCACTCGTTAGCTGTGGCGCCATCAGCCGGGAGCGGGCCAGGAGCAAGCGAGCCAGTGCCAAAGCGAAACTGAGATGGAGAACTAGATATAGATTGAGTGGGATAGTTGACTCAGCAGCAGCAACAGCAGTAGCAGCTCGAGTAACGCCCTTGTCTATTGGTAAACATTTTTACTATTTGCGACAGGCGAAAAAAAGAGGAAGAAGAAGACGCAGTAAACGCAAGCTGGATACGCGCCCACGCCGAGGCATCCTCAGCTGCCTCCTTGGGCAACTAGCTCCATATATCTTTGCGGGCAGGTGCTGCAGTCTCCAAGATGCCGTCGCCGGCTGACAATGTCTGCAGCCATTTCATTTTGTTGCTTATTTTATTGCCTATCCTGTTTGCTGGCCCAGACAGTTGGCAAACAGACAAACAAACAAACATGGACAGGAACCCACACCCACACCCGGACACGGACACGGACCCCCACCCTCATCCGGACTCGGACCAGTACGGACTGGCGCTGCACTGTCTAGGCCGTGTCCTTGTCGCAGCTACTAGTTTTATTTTCATTTTTCTTCTTTTTTTCCGGCAGTTGTCTTCATTACGATTACACCAACCAAAATAAATGCAATTCATTGCACACAACGCGCCCAAGTTCCCCAGACATAGCCGGCTTCCAGCTGCGTTCGCACATGCCCAACGCCCACCATGTCCACATAATTGCCATAATATTTCTATTATTTTAAAATTTATCTCCAGAAAATCACACACAAATCTTTATTGGGCATTATTTATACGTAGTATACTTTCTATGGCATTTCTTTGTCTCACTAAAATCAATAAGGTTTTAAAAAGGACTTCAGATGTACTTTATTGTACATTTAAATATTGGCATAATTGGAGATTATTTTCTTATTACTTCCAATAAATTTCTCACATATATAAATATCTGTTGAGTATGATGTATATTATTATGGTCCACGTGGCTTTTTTTTGGCTTATGGAACACCGAACTTCGAATTAAAACCCAACATACAGACTTTCTAAGCCCTTCATTCTTTTTTAGTGACCTTTATATAAATATGCCCAAGTAGTAATTGAACAGCGAGGAGCTGACTTTAAAGCCCAGCCCATGTCCTTGTCGAAGGCCATAGCTGCCACTGGCAGCTAAAGATACTATATAATCTATCGTTATTCCGACAGGAATATAAATAGGTGAACTTCTACCTGAACTCCTAGCTTATCAAATTTGCTCCACTGTGCATGCATCTGAACTAGCATCTGTTGTGCATAGTTTCCTCTCCTTTTCCGTCTCCGTCTCCGTCTTGTTTCTTCAGCTGAGCGCTCACTAATGCCACGTCTAAATACCCCACCCCTCCGCTCTGACAGCTCATTTTGGGTGACACTTCTCGAGCTGTGTGCGCTTTGTTTACTTTTTGGTTGGGTATTCCACGTAAGAAGCCTTGACTAAGCTTGTCTTCTGTTACCTGTTTATATTTGAACAAACTTAAATGTAAAGCGAATCCAATCAACGTAACATACTATACATTTTTGCATGTGGCAAGTACTTAGATTGAAATCAGGAAGAACTGCCTCGGGTGTATAGAGCACATATTTTGGGTAACATGTCCCACTTCATAAGGTAGATAACGAAACAAAAAAAATATACACAAACAAGACAAAAACTAAAATGAGATTTTATGTTTGCTTAGAGTTCTCAAGCGATTAAAGCGTCACAGCAATTGTTTTGAGGAAAATGTAACCCTCAATTTAAAAATAAACTGAAAATGAAAGTTTATTGCATAGATTCGTGTTTTTACTGACGATATGTGTCAGATACGGCTTATAATATAACAATACCAAAGACAATATAAAGAAATGGTTTTGGTCAAAAAGTTAGATTAACACAAATAACTGTTGAAGGCATTTAGAGGAAACTCCCCAATTACGATCTGACTACTTTATGAAATAGGATCAAACTGCAGAATATTTTCTTATTAATATATATGCATGTGTCTATAATTATTATGTGTACATATATATTGTACATTTGATATAACATTAATTGCATAAGAAATAGGATTGACAAGCCAGCTGTGTATCTGTATACTGTATTCATGGGTATTTAACCCTCGGCAATCCCAGACTAAAAAATTTCCTCTTATTTAAAACTGACTTTCAGTTTAATTTCATTCTTTCTTTTTATAGCTTGAATTAATATAAAGTAAATGAAGTTAACTAAATGTAACCTACAGGTGTTAACATTGAGTAAAAGAGAATTAAATAATAAATATGTATATAAATGAAGCGTAAAACATAATTAGGCTGCTTGCCTAAGCTCAGCTGTTGCTCGCTTGAATTTGAAAGCGAGGAGATTTTTATTACAATTTTTCAGCTGGCATTTTAAAAGGCATTTCGTTGCTTTGCCAAGGAGCTGCAAGCTAAAGCGCTTGCTGCCCGTCTTTTGTCTGTGTGCCACAAGCGGCAGCTTCGCGCGGGGGTTGGGCGTGCCACTTAATGCAGTTGCCGGTGGCAGACAAGTGGCAGGAATACAAATCAAATTAACTGCTTTGTTGCGTTGCTGTTCACACTGCACGTAATTAATGGGCGTGGCCATCGAATGACCAGCTGAATCATGCACTTTCCACAGTGCCACAAAGTAGCACGAACGATATGGAATGACCGGCGGTGGCAAGGCGAGCAGGCGCATCTATGTTATTGTTGTTGTCTTTGCATGCGTGGCAAGTTCGTCTTCTTTTTCTATTTTTTTTTTTTTCTTTCAGCGGAAACTATTTTCAACTGAAGCTGCATAACTCTTGCCCCCTCTGCCGGCAACGGCTTAAAATCAACAAACACACGACTGCGACTGCGACGCGTTTGCTGCCGCTCTCTGTTGCACGCACTGTTGCCGTCTCTCTCACCTGGGAAGTTGAAACGTGTTGCGGCATATATTAATTTTTATTTCCAGAAAATTAACGGCGCAGTTGCTGCTGCTGCACAAGTTACTGTTGCTGCTGTTGTTGTTGTTACTTTTGTTTGTTTAGCAACTGAATGATGGATCACACCCACACGCACACACATGCACACACATACACGCACACTGCGCGAGTTTTTGAGTTTTGAAAATGACTTTTCAGGGACTTCGATGGCGTTTTTCTCACTACTGTGCACACACACGCACACACACACACACACACACACAGAGAGAGACAATTTATTTGTATTTCAGTGGCCCGACCCCCTCACACTACCCCCACCCAACTGAAACCCCTTTTGGAGCAGGGCTATTGTGGTAAGCATGCCCGATCATTATTTTCACACGTTGCTTGGCACGCTCTCGGCTGCCGGCCCTCCTGCTCCCGCCCCACCTGGCTCGACCCACTCCACATCCCTCCACTCCATTTGGCCAGTGCTTGTTTATGTTTTAAGGTAATTTTCTGGGCCGCCGACGCTTAACTCAATGCGGCAACTGTTGCGCCTACGGCTGCGGTAAGCCGTGCCCACACTGCACCTCCCCCCGAAAAGGTCAATGATACTTAAAGTTTGAACAACTATGTGACCCCGGCGGCTACACTGTGAAAAAAAAAGAAAAAGAAGAAGCAAGCTCAGAACTCCCGAAGTGTTCAAGTGCCTTGTGGAAATTGAGAAGCAAGGAGCAAAAAGTTATAGCTCAAGTGTCTGTAGTCTGCAGGAGTCATAAGGAGCGGGAGGGTGTTGGGGGTGGTGCAGGAGCACACTTTGTAAATGTGCTGGTCAAGCTGCATGAAATTGAAATGGCCCAGCCATAAACTTGGCCATTTGTATTTGCCGGTTATGAGCAGAAACAAAAAAAAAAAAGAAGAGGAGGGAAAAGAACCCAACGCCACGACAATTGCCGCAAAATATGAAATACGTAATGTGAAATGTGGCACGTGAAGCAGATGAAACCAGATGCTGGTCAACCCATTCGCCCCCAGAGCCAGAAACCAGGACTCGCAAGGCTTTAAGGTTTCCAGGCAGCACCACCCAAGTGGTCATTTGGACGAGTGCCACTTGAGGCAAGTTATGTTGAAGGCCAAGACAAAACAGGGGGACACGCAGCAACTAGTTGGGCAATCATAATGCATAATGCATGTGAGCGAGCGAGACAAACAGTCATAGAGAAAGAGAAGGGAGTAAAAATGAGTAAGTGCTCCGAAATTTCAATATCAACTCCAACTGCCGTATGTTAAGTGGCAATGAAACATAAAACATGAATTTCAATTTCCCTTTTTTGGGCAAGTTAGAGCATTAGCCAAATGCTGTTCATGTGGCTAATAAAGTATTAAACAAATGAAGGATAAAGCAGGCCAATAAAATACACTTTTTTTCATACCAAATAATGCATCGAAGGCTTGTTACCTTTAATGGAGGTGGAAGAACAATCCCTTGGGTATATTCCAACCTTGCGTTCATACATACGGGCGGGCGGACGGACGGACGGACGGACAGACAGACGGACATGGCTAGATCGACACGGCTATTGATGCTGATCAAGAATATATATACTTTATGGGGTCGGAGATGCTTCCTTCTGCCTGTTACATACATTTGGATTTTGCACAAATACAATATACCCTTACACCCATTTTCAATGGGTTCAGGCCAGGGTAAAGCCTGGTTTCATCAGCAAGTCAGCTTTAAAGACACACATGAAATTAAAGAGCCTTTAAAGTAGTCATGTTGTCCTGGACGGCAGCCCTTTGCAGTGCGGAGATTTGAAAATGTTGTCTGATTGAATGAAGCTATTATAATAATTTCAGCGCAATTAACGATGGCACACAAATTGGCGCTGAGCGTCTGGTTTCAGCTGCAGCAGAAATTAATGGGGGGAAAAAACTACCAATAATTACCTACAATTAAAATTGATTTATGAAAATGCGCGTCTGTGGGTGGCAAGAGGGACGGGAGGGCTGCGTTGGTGAGGGGAAATCACAAACACAACACGCATCGGGAGCGTGGAATTCAATTAAAAAGGAGTCGCCACCGCAGCTGCTGTTGATGCAGCAGTTGCGTCAATGGCCAATGACAATCAATTAATAAGAAATGTTCGGCAGCGGCCATCGGCCAGCGGGCGGCAGTGGGCGTGGCAGTAGGAGTCGCTGGGCAATCGAACAATTGGTCAGGTGGATCACGGGGATCACGAGCGTTGCTTAATGCAATTACGCAGCCGTAGCTAACACGCATTCCAGCACACGCACACATGTACATATATGTGCACATAATTAACGCACACACACGCACTGCCGTTGGCAGCGCCGCAGATGTCGACGTCGACGTCGACGTCGTCGCCGTACAAATGCGTTTATTTAACAAATTAATTGGCGAAAATATGCGAGAGGTGCCCGCAGTAGGGCGAGACATTAACTTAAATTGTCGCCAAGGCATGCCAGCCTCACGCGCTTTCTCTCTATCTCTCTCTCTCTCTCCCTCTCTCTCTCTCTCTCTCTCTGGCTCGCTCTCTCTCAATTATTTACACATTGTTGAACCTTTCGCACAACATTTTTGTGCCTTGGCCAATGTCCAGCGACAATGTCGGCCGGAATGTAATTAATAAACGTATTAAACGCATGCAACTGAGCAGCAGCAGCCGCCGCCGTGGACATAGGACGCAGCTTCAGTTCGGTTGCCGGGGCCCATCATGGAACCCAATTAATCAGCTGTGGGCCGCCCACCCACTGGTCAATGGTCTATGAAATGCCCATTATACAACACAAAGACACAAACAGCAAGGGGCGTGTGTATGTGTGTGTGTGGGAGGGAAAGGGGGTTGACTGGGCAGAATAAGGTAGATAGCTAAACCACCCTGCTAACCCATGCTAACAGATTGCAGAGCAGACACCCCCGTGTGCCAAGTCGTTTCAATATTTGTTCTATTAAGCAGCAGTCCCACCCCACCCACCGCCTAGTCACCCCCACTCCAAGAGCACACAACGACAAAGCCAAAAAACAACAACAACAAAAATGGTTATCAAAAAACAAAGCAAAGCAAAGAAAAAAAAAAAGAGACAGTAGACAATTTTTATATTACAGATTTCACGGGCGCGAAATTTATGAACAGATATATTTCAGCCGGCGGGCCAAAAAGTGTAACCCAATACCCTGCAACTGCGGCTGGGCATGATGACTTATGCAAGCAACGTGCTGGGTGAGTCCATGTTGTTATGGAGCTGGCGCAACAAACATTCATTTTTATTTATTTGTTCAAAGCAAAATACGTTAAGTACAAATTAAAGAGCGGACGCAGCATTTGGCAAGCATCGATAAATATCAACAAAAATTTCATTTTTTTACGATGGTCAGCATTTTTTTTATTGCGTAATCTTAAATAAGTCTCCATGAGGAAGTTAGGCGCATAATATATTGTATGTTATACGAAGTTCTTTTTGCTGTCGAAGTATTTTCAAATAGGCAGCCATCTATCTAAAAGATCTGACCATATCATAAGGGTGTGACCATTTCTTACAGATGTAACCATATCTTAAAGGTCTGACCATATCTTAAAGGTGTGACCATATTTTTAAGGTGCAACCATATTTTAAAGGTGTGACCATGCATAAAAGGTGTGACTATATCTTAAAGATGTGACCATATATAAAAGGTGTGACCATATCTTAAAGATGTGACTCTCTTGCAGCTTTAATAATTTAACTATATTCTGATGCATAAATGAGTATATAA